CTAATTGATCTAGAAGGTCGGATATATTTGAGAGAAAATATTTGTCCAAATATAAGTGATGTTAGAGTTGTTCCTGACTAATTTGGACCCGCTTTATAGATTTGGAAAGTCAAAATTTAGAGAAATCTAAAAATAGAAAAAAATTCAATTTTTTGTACTTTGATTATTACCGGCACTTGAATCATTTGAAAACTTTTCCAGTCGAAATCAAGAGCCGGGAATAATTAAAATTTTGATATGTAACCGAACTGCAACCACCAATATAAAGATGCAGCTCGGGTTCCCAGATACTCTATATAATTTATGCGCCCGCACGTTCCACAGATAGAGATGTTTTGAAGAACAAAGGACAGCAAATTCTTGCTTGCGGTGTACAGGTAGGGTGTTACGCGAAGCAGTTGGTCAACATGCCAAAAACATACTGTGTTTGTAATACCAGATGGACACTACGAGTTCTTGCGAATGCCATTTGGACTTGTGAATGCTCCTGCGATTTTTCAGAGAACAATCAACCAAGTCTTGGGCTCATTGCAATTCGAAACAGCTATGTATTAATACCGTCAATATCATTATCAGATGGATTTAAAAAGCTGAAATAGTTACCAAATATCTTTAAGGAAGTCGGTTTTACACTTACGTTGAATATGTGCTGTAAAACTATACCAAATTAGTATATGATGAAGTAAGTAGCTGAGCAAGAAACAAGGATGCCTACATGTCCTTTTAGTAGTTCAATAACCAGCCGCTTAAAACCTCCAATTACCCGAATAAAATAATAATTTAAACAGAGTCGACCAAAACGATACGCGCGAAACCGCGATTTGCATGCATAATTTTCGGGAAAATTGCGAATTTTTCACCATTATCGCTAGCGGTCCGAGGGTGCCAAGTTAATGAAATATGTATTTATTTCACGAGAGAATATTATTTAAATTCGACGTTTATTAGCCCACCAATATACGATTATTGTATAGAAAAATCTCAATTGGTAGCAACAAAACATATATATCCAGTAATAGGATAGAGGCTTTTAAGCCTCTTACTAATTTGCCTATTATCGATACGAGCTCAACTACCCCCAGGATACGCAATTGCAACGCCGTTATCATTTTTGGACGTTTGCCATTTACCTAAACAGGCAAATTGGTCAATAGTTTATCGTTTCACGTCGGACACAATTGGCTTCAATATTATAATAATTCCGGCTTTAAAATTGCCCAATTAGGGTGGTTAATTTTTCGTGAAATAACAGCAGAGTTTCGGTGATTTGACCCCCCTGTCGCATTTGTCATTGCGGACAATTATTCTGCATTGTGTTCCGAAACTACGCCAGCCAGCACATTAGCACCCATTGTGTCAATCGGGACCTTAACATTCAATGCTATTAAATTGTAATAGTACGTTTTACGGTTTTTGCTCCTCAAACATAATTTGCCATGTGGACACTAACACTACAAATTATCTAATTTTTCTAATAGGATTTTCCCAAGCTAATTGCGCTATATGAAATTAAGAAATAATCGCCCCAACCGTGGTTATAAATTTGGTATCGTTATCTCTAAAGTTCAATGCTTGCCTGGCTACTTTTTGACACTCCGGAGTCTTATTTATTGCACCAACGGGCACAATTTTTAATTGCAAAAGACCATAATAACAAGATAATTATTCTCTTTGTTTGAAATTAATCATCAGGTATAGAGCGATAATTCCTGGTACTCTGTCACTTCCAGACCGTTACCAGGTAATCGATATTCAAAAACTGGGGTCATTTTTCGCCCTTGATTTGTTCCGAGCAGACATCAGGAGGGGTGGGTGTCGCATAGAGAGTCGTTTTCGGGTCCAGCGGAGCAGGAAATGTGCGGATTTTCCTTCGCCTAGCGGAGCGATCGTTCATTCGTCGCGATTACGACTTCCTTTAAGTTTTAGGCGGCCAAATTATATGCAGGATTTTGAGACAGTTTGATTTAGTGCTCGTGCAACTTTCTCGGTTCAATCGGAGCGTTACATTGATTAGGAACGGAATTTATGTGATCGGTTTTCACAATAGGTTTCCTATGTAAAACATGCCCCAACGCGAAAGCTTTCTAAAATCAAAAACGTGTTATGAAGCATACACGTTTTCCTAAATCCCTGCGTTCCCAGTATCAATAACTGATGAGCCATAAATATACATTAGCTACGCTAAACACTCGATGATACACTATGGTAGGAGCTCCTAACTTGTAAAGGCCAAAAATAGTTAATTAGCTGGTTGGAAGTTTTAGTAAAACAATGGTCCACGCTCTACCTTAAATATTGTAGGTATAATACAAAATAACTCAATATATTATACAACATAAAAAAAATATACATACCGATTAAGGACAAGAGTTTTCTAATATGCTCGTAGTTAGAGGAGTTTGATTTTTGAACGATTGAATGGGTGAAATGCCCACAACAAAATCCATAGGATGGATTGAAATTTTCCAAGTGGATGGAGAAAAGATTGAAATTTGAGACAAAATTTTCGCATCCTGATAAAAAACGTAGTTAAAAGACTTTGAAGCTTTGCAGCTGCAAAACCATTGCAAGTTGCATTGAAATCATTCACAAGAGTTGGATTAGAGTTGAAAGGTTCCTAAACACATAAAAAAATATTTGGTTCCATGAAGTTGATCAACTTTCCAGGGAGAACATTGTGAATGGAGATGGAGGTCGTAAGTCTTAAATGTGTCTTTCAGATTGAAAAAATCATACCTCTCTCATTTTGGATTTCTGTGTTATGAAATTTCGTTGGGTTAGAGTTGAAAGGTTCCTAAGCACAAAAAAAAATATTTGGTTCCATGGAGTTGATCAACTTTCCAGGAAGAACACTATAAATGGAGATGGGGATCATAAGTCTTAAATGTGTCTTTCAGATTGAAAAAATCATAACCCACTTATTTTGGATTTTTGTGTTATGAAATTTTGTTTGGTTAGAGACGGAAGGTTCCTGAACACATAAAAAAATATTTGGTTCCATGAAGTTGATCAACTTTCCAAGGAAAACACTGTAAATGAAGATGGAGGCCATAAGTCTTAAATGTGTCTTTCAGATTGAAAAAATCATAACCCACTTATTTTGGACTTTTGTGTTATGAAATTTGGTCGGGTTAGAGTTGGAAGGTTTCTTAACACATAAAAAAATATTTGGTTCCATAAAGTTGATCAACTTCCCAGGGAGAACACTGTAAATGGAGATCGGGGTCATAGGTCTTAAATGTGTCTTCCAGATTGAAAAAAATCATAATTCTCTTATTTTGGATTTTTCTGTTATGAAATTTTGTTGGGTTAGAGTTGAAAGGTTCCTAAATACATAAAAAAATATTTGGTTCCATGAGGTTGATCAACTTTCCAGGGAAGACTTTGTAAATGGAGATGGAGGCCATAAGTCTTAAATGTGTCTTTCAGATTGAAAAAATCATAATTATCTTATTTTGGTATTTTTGGGTTATGAAATTTTGTTGGGTTAGAGTTGGAAGGTTTCTTAACACATAAAAAAAAAATATTTGGTTCCATAAAGTTGATCAACTTCCCAAGGAGAACACTGTAAATGGAGATGGGGGTCATAGGTCTTAAATGTGTCTTCCAGATTGAAAAAATCATAATTGTCTTATTTTGGATTTTTCTGTTATGAAATTTTGTTGGGTTAGAGTTGAAAGGTTCCTAAATACATTAAAAAATATTTGGTTCCATGAAGTTGATCAACTTTCCAGGGAGAACACTGTAAATGGAGATGTAGGTCGTAAGTCTTAAATGTGCCTTTCAGATTGAAAAAATCACACCTCTCTTATTTTGGACTTTTGTGGTATGAAATTTTGTTGGTTTGGAGTTGAAAGGTTCCTGAGCACCTAAAAAAATATTTGGTTCCATGAAGTTGATCAACTTTCCAGGGAAGACTTTGTAAATGGAGATGGAGGCCATAAGTCTTAAATGTGCCTTTCAGATTGAAAAAATCATAATTCGCGTATTTTGGATTTTTGTGTTATGAAATTTTGTTGGGTTAGAGCTGAAAGGTTCCTAAATACATAAAAAAATATTTGGTTCCATGAAGTGGATCAACTTTCCAAGGCGAACACTGTAAATGGAGATGGGGATCATAAGTCTTAAATGTTTCTTTCAGATTGAAAAAATCTTAACTCCCTTATTTTGGATTTTCGTGTTATGAAATTTTGTTGGGTTAGAGTTGAAAGGTTCCTAAATACATAAAAAAATATTGGGTTCTATTTGATGTTCATATTTCTAAAGAACCAGACGTATACAGTGTATAGCTAATTTATACCTAGTATATCGTTTGTGGTGGAGTTCCACAGAACATAGAGGAAGTAAGAGAAACCTTCCATCCTTTGGATACATCAGTGGTTTGCCTCTATATCTAAGTGAAAGGGGCTCAATCAAGAAAACAGTGCGCGGACAAACACATGAATACACACCAAGCATAGCTTCTACAAAAAGCTGAAATACCTTGAAGAGGTGGGCACTCAACCTCCTTTTTAGCTGTCTTCTTTTGGGAGTTTGGGAGAAACCTACAAATGTAATCTACAATCTAGAGTCAGCGACAAATATATCAAATTCCTAGAAAAACCCAATAATTCATCTTCTCAAACATTACACAAATAAAGGCCTATCAATCCCTTTCAAATTATGCCCTATTGCCCAGTATTCAAAAACCAAAACTCAAAATCAAAATGACTAATTCAATGAGCTTCAATTTTGTCAACCGGTTAACGCGAAACTACCCACTGCGTCCTCTCTATCCGAACGTCATCGTCACCTCGAACCCCTGGCGGAAATTATTATGCAATTCCCCGTGAGAGCATAGAGCATTACCACCACGTGTACACGTGGCCGGATGCCATTTCGTTTCGATTTGAGAGGCCCCCCCTACTACTCTCTCACTCACTCTCTGGAAATCCGCGCGCAGTGTAATCCTGAAAGCGCACTTGCCAATTCACAGTCTTAGATTTCTAGAGTTTTGTTTTCTGGGGGACTTGCTAGCATTAATTCTAAAATTTTCTGACTCTGGGGGACTTTGCTGTAGAATCCAACAAACAAACAAGTCAATAATTTAATTAATAAGTTTTATTTTCAATAATAACTATCATAGGTGAAATGTTTGGCAACAGCTATAAGCCTTGCCCAAAACGCCACGTTTCTTTTGCCTTCAACACTTTTAATAATACTCTCATATTTCTCGTGCTTATTTCCATAACAAACCGCATCCTCTTTGTCTACTAAACTATCGCAAACAGTCAAAGGACTTATCATCGCCCCATAAGCAGCATATTTTTTCCAATGATTCTGCAAGTCTGCAAAAGAAAATATCTTTTGTGGATCGCAATCCATTTGACTAAGATATTGCGATAGACTTTGATAATAGATTTGTAAAAATTCTTGAAAATGTTGCAGTTGTTCCTCCGATGATACTGCATAGATGAAGTAGCTCAAATCCAAAACAGGACTTGATAAGTTTGAAATTTGGAAGTCAAACATTGTTACATCAGTAGGTGAATTTGCCTGGTATTTGAACATTAGGTTATTGTTCCAACAATCCCCATGCGTAATAACAATTTGTTGCTCTTCCATAAATAATATTTCTTTGATTATATTTGTGGCTAATTTGTTTTGTGTTTTCTCTTGGTATTTCTTCAATAGCTCAAGTTCTTTGCTCTCTTTTAAAACATAGAGTAAATGTTCTTGAGCTACATTCATCCAATGACCCACATGACTATTTACAAAAATCTCATTGGCTGGACATTTCCAGGCAGCTGTTAACTCATTGAATTGCTGGGGGTTTTTGGCCTTTAGGGCAAAAGATAGAGCGTGCCATTGGCCCAATAACTTCAAAACTAGTCCCATATGGTCCAGAGTCATTACTGATTTTCTATTGTAAAGCTTAAAGCCTGTTGATTTAAGGTTTTGCAACACTAAGGCCTCTTGCTCATCACTAAGAAGTGTTAGGTAACATTTAGGGATTGAGCTAAATAAATCCATATTGAAGTTTGCCTAAAATTTTGAGTTTTAATATTGAGCTTATATTATTGAAAATTCTTACTTGTAACTTCCAAAAAGCTGGTATAACTTGGGCATAGATTTGAACTTCACGCTCAAAGCCTAGTCTCACTATAGGCCGCATCGTTTTATTTTTTCCCCCAATTTTCAACACTAAGCTGTAGCAAATCGCCTCGCCATTTGACTTTTCGCCTAAAACATCCACAAAAGTCAACTCGCCTATGTAGCCTTCGCCTTTTTCGTTGCCTCCACGAAATTTTAGTTCGTATTTTTCCAGGTTTTCGTTTTCAAGGGCTCGGGTCACTAGAGCTTTTAACGCGTCACTCGTCATGGTTCAATGTTAATTGAGCGTAAACTGAGATTTCAATTAGTAAACTATCGGTTAACAAGGATGTATGCACTCGGATATTATTACCAGGGTGATTTTAAAAATGTTAGGCCTTTAGTTATCAAGCCTGTCACACAACTCTGGTGGAAATATAGAGTTTATTGAGCTGGTAATAGTTCAAATTTTGAATATTACTGGCTTTTGAATCAGTAGAAAGTTTCTTTGAAGGAAATTGAGACCCAGTAACGGTTCAGATTTGAATTATTATTGGCTGGAACATTTAAAACTTTGATTATTACCCTAAGAAACTTTTCCAGATGATGTCAAGAGCCAGGAATAGAGATATGATTCCTAAAAGTATTTTTCAGACGATATTAGATGAAACTGTTATAGAGTTGGAAAAAACATCATAATTTTGATTCTTAGCTTCAGATTGACTTCAAGTTTGCCTTGTTTGATAAAAACATCCTGGTTAATAAATCCTGGAAGTTTGAAATCGATCTGAAACTCCGAAGTATTTTTCAGGATTTTTCAAAGGTGATTTAACGTGAATTTTCCAACTTTTTCTGGTATTAAGTTGGAAAAAAACTCATTATTTTTTTTCTGAGCTTCAGATTGACTTCAAATTTGCCCTGTTTGCTGAAAACATCCTGGTTATTAAATCCTGAAGGTTTCGAGTCGATCTCGATACTCCGAAGTATTTTTCAGGATTTTTCGAAGATGATTTAATGTGAATTTTCCAGTTTTTTCTGGTATCATATTGGAAAAAAGCTCATAATTTTATTTCTGAGTTTCAGATTGACTTCAAATTTGCCTTCTTTGATGGAAACATCTTGATTAATGAATCCTGAAAGTTTGAAATTGATCTGAGACTCCGGAGTATTTTTCAGGATTTTTCAAAGGTAATTTAACGTGAATTTTCCAACTTTATCTGGTATTAAGTTGGAAAAAAACTCCTAATTTTATTTCTGAGCTTCAGATTGACTTCAAATTTGCCCTGCTTGCTGAAAACATCCTGAAAGTTTCAAGTCTTTCTGATACTCCGAAGTATTTTTCAGGATTTTTCAAAGATGATTTAACGTGAATTTTCCAATTTTTTCTGGTATCATATTGGAAAAAAGCTCATAATTTTATTTATGAGCTTCAGATTGACTTCAAATTTGCCTTGTTTGATGAAAACATCTTGATTAATGAATCCTGAAAGTTTGAAATCGATCTGAAATTCCAAAGTATTTTTCAGGATTTTTCAAAGGTGATTTAACGTGAATTTTCCCAACTTTTTCTGGTATTAAGTTGGAAAAAAACTCATAATTTTATTTCTGAGCTTCAGATTGACTTCAAATTTGCCCTGTTGGATGAAAACATCCTGGTTAATAAATCCTGAAAATTTCAAGTAGATCTGATACTCCGAAGTATTTTTCAGGATTTTTCAAATATGATTTAACGTGAATTTTCCAGTTTTTTCTGGTATCATATTGGAAAAAAGATCATAATTTTATTTCTGAGCTTCAGATTGACTTCAAGTTTGCCCTGTTTGCTGAAAACATCCTGGTTAATAAATCCTGAAAGTTTGAAATCGATCTGAAACTCCGAAGTATTTTTCAGGATTTTTCAAAGGTGATTTAACGTGAATTTTCCAACTTTTTCTGGTATTAAGTTGGAAAAAAACTCATAATTTTATTTCTAAGCTTCAGATTGACTTCAAATTTACCCTGTTTGCTGAAAACATCCTAATTAATGAATCCTGAAAGTTTCAAGTTGATTTGATACTCCGAAGTATTTTTCAGGATTTTTCAAAGATGATTTAACGTAAATTTTCCAGTTTTTTCTGGTATTAAGTTGGAAAAAAACTCATAATTTTATTTCTGAGCTCCAGATTGACTTCAAATTTACCCTGTTTGCTGAAAACATCCTGGTTAATAAATCCTGAAAGTTTCAAGTCGATCTGATACTCCGAAATATTTTTCAGGATTTTTCAAAGATGATTTAACGTGAATTTTCCAACTTTTTCCGGTATTAAGTTGGAAAAAAATTCATAATTTTATTTCTGAGCTTCAGATTGACTTCAAATTTACCCTGTTTGCTGAAAACATCCTGGTTAATAAATCCTGAAAGTTTCAAGTCGATCTGATACTCCGAAGTATTTTTCAGGATTTTTCAAAGATGATTTAACGTGAATTTTCCAGTTTTTTCTAGTATCATATTGGTAAAAAGCTCATAATTTTATTTCTGAGCTTCAGATTGACTTCAAATATGCCTTGTTTGATGAAAACATCTTGAATAATGAATCCTGAAAGTTTGAAATCGATCTGAAACTCCGAAGTATTTTTCAGGATTTATCAAAGGTGATTTAACGTGAATTTTTCAGCTTTTTCTGGTATTAAGTTGGAAAAAAACTCATAATTCTATTTCTAAGCTTCAGATTGACTTCAAATTTGCCTTGTTTCATGAAAACATCTTGATTAATGAATCCTGGAATTTTGAAATCGATCTGAATTTCCGAAGTATTTTTCAAAGGTGATTTAACGTGAATTTTCCAACTTTTTCTGGTATTAAGTTGGAAGACAACTCATAATTTTATTTCTGAGCTTCAGATTGACTTCAAATTTGCCTTGTTTAATGAAAACATTCTGGTTAATAAATCCTGAAAGTTTCAAGTCGATATGATACTCCGAAGTATTTTTCAGGATTTTTCAAAGATGATTTAACGTGAATTTTCCAGTTTTTTCTGGTATCATATTGGAAAAAAGCTCATAATTTTATTTCTGAGCTTCAGATTGACTTCAAATTTGCCTTGTTTGATGAAAACATCTTGATTAATGAATCCTGGAAGTTTGAAATCGATCTGAAGCTCCGAAGTATTTTCAGGATTTTTCAAACGTGATTTAACGTGAATTTTCCAACTTTTTCTGGTATTAAGTTGGAAAAAAAACTCAAATTTTATTTCTGAGCCTCAGATTGACTTCAAATTTGCCCTGTTTGATGAAAATATCCTGGTTATTAAATCCTGAAAGTTTCAAGTCGATCTGATACTCCGAAGTATTTTTCAGGATTTTTCAAAGATGATTTAACGTGAATTTTCCAGTTTTTTCTGGTATCATATAGGAAAAAAGCTCATAATTTTATTTCTGAGCTTCAGATTTACTTCAAATTTGCCTTGTTTGATGAAAACATCTTGATTAATGAATCCTGGAAGTTTGAAATCGATCTGAAGCTCCGAAGTATTTTTCAGGATTTTTCAAACGTGATTTAACGTGAATTTTCCAACTTTTTCTGGTATTAAGTTGGAAAAAAAATCATAATTTTATTTCTGAGCCTCAGATTGACTTCAAATTTGCCCTGTTTGATGAAAACATCCTGGTTAATAAATCCTGAAAGTTTCAAGTCGATCTGATACTCCGAAGTATTTTTCAGGATTTTTCATAGATGATTTAACGTGAATTTTCCAGTTTTTTCTGGTATCATATTGGAAAAAAGCTCATAATTTTATTTCGAGCTTCAGATTGACTTCAAATTTGAAGAAGTGGTGAGCGATTTACCAGCAACAGTTGGTGGGATTCTACCTAAATGACGGCTGATGCGCACACTCTCCCTCTCCTCGTTCACTATTCGGTAAAGTCTCTAAATTCTCGGATTGATTAAGAAATATGGCAACTCTTAGAAGATACCATAATTATCTTTGTCGCAGAATACAGTACGACACAACGAATGCGCAGAACGGAGGCAGCGGAAGAAGGGTTTGGTGTGCAGTTTTATTAGTTTCTGAAGTTTGAACTGGAAATGACAAATTACATCCAGAGAGAAAAAAAAAATTATATGATCTCGGTTGATTCGAAAATTAGTGAAGTTTCGATACAAATATTCTTTGCGCAATACCTCCCAAACAGATTTCCAAGAAGCCTATCAATAGTCCTTTGAAAAATTGCAGGAGCATTGCACAATCCAAATGGTACTTCTCAAATATTCGTAGTGTCTATCTAGTGTTGTAAAGGCAGTTTTGGAATTGAAGAATCTGGTGGTATCCACTGGCCAAGTCCAGACTCGTCAAATAGTGACAGTGGGCTAAAAATTTGCAGCACGAATTTTGATTATTCTCGGCGCTTGAGTGGACTTGTATGTAATTTTTGTGTCTCACCAATCAAAAGCCTGGAATAATAACAGAAAGATGATGATGTAAGAAATTCAATGAAAAAGAGAATAATAGAATGACACATATTTTCATTATTCCTAGCGCTTGAGTGACCATGTAATTTCCTTGTCCGACTAATTGAGAGCTTGGGATAATAAAATAGAAAACAGCTATATAGAATTGAATTATCACCGGCTGAAATATTGCTTGAATCACCAGAAAACTTAAATTAAGAGCCGAGAATAGTTCAAATTTTGAATCTAACATAACCGACATAATTATGATACACCGTTTTTGGTGAATTCAAATTTTTACAGGTGTAAAACCTACATAAATCAAAATTTAATATTGCATAAGCCCCATGGTAATTCATGACAAACACATATATAATACCTTATAAAATTACCAGAATCGCTGCCGAATAAAGGGGGGTGGCAATTTCCGAATGTGCACACTCACTCGCACACATTTCGGTATTAAAATATTTAAAATGGAAATACGCGGCGTTCAAATTAAATTATTATTCAAAATGAAAAGCTCCCCCTATAGAATAAGCGCCGGGTAAAGAGGAGGAGGAGGAATTGAAGATCTATTTTACATTTCCCCAGTCGGGAACTAGTTTATGGAACGTTTGGTTTGACCACAAAACGGGGCAAAAATTTCCTTACAATGGAAATTAGACGTTTGCTCTTTTCTCTCTTTTACGCTGTTTTATTGAATAGTTTGTTTCCTTAGAGGCCGTTTCAGGAAATGCTCGTAGAATTTCAATTCAAAACCGAAAAATTGGACAAAAAGTCTTTCGTTATATGCAGATGCAATTTGGGATGGGGACACCTGCCCTCCCTCAGTCCAGTTAGTCTGATAATTGAATCCC